AATACCAAAAATAATCATTCGTCCTGTCATTAGAAATAGGTCACGTCGTCGCACGACATATAGTTTGCATGCTAGGTTGCATTAATCGCATGTCATTTTCGCATGTCATTGCATATAGGCTAGATTTCATTTAAATAAGTGAAAATTCAAAAAAGAAATCGAGTGAATTGCTTGTTAATTAGAAATCATATTAGGATGTCAATGTGATTTTCTAGCTAACAATGTAGATGCTTACGTTGCTTCCAGGTAAGTAATTCTTCCAAACTTGCAATTTATTTAATGCTTTCTGGGTGTTAAATTGGTGGTTTGCGCACTCGCATGAACACCTCACATGTTAGTAACTAAGTTGAAATGGATCTAAACTGCCTGCTAAAACATTTTTGAAAAGAAAAGGTACCGAAAGGGCGTTAGACCAGATTTAGCGTAATCAAGTCCCCGGGCTTAGAATCTCTGGTTCGTAGGAATAAAACATATCTCCCTATGTTTTATTTAGGTTTCTAATCAACCTACCATAAATTGATTAGTGGCGACTCCGAGCATAAAAACTTTTGCATGTTAAAAACTTAAACCCTAAGTTGCGAATTGGTAGGGCTTGGGAGGGCCCGAGTTAGGCTTAGTCTTAACAATCCATTAGCCTGAGAGGAATTTTAGGTCGCGACACCGGCGAAGCTCGTTCTCGCCGATCTGGCGAGGCTCCAGCCTCGCCGATCTGGCGAGACTCGAGCTCGCCGGCCTCGGGCGAGCTCTACCTCGCCGGATCTGGCGAGGTGGAGCCTTGGCCGAGGCCGGCGAGCTCGAGTCTTGCCGGCCTCGGCCAAGGCTCCACCTCGCCAGATCCGGCGAGGTCGTCCCGCCCCGGTGGCCGGTCGCCGTGGCCGACCACCGGGCGGAATAAAAAAAAAAGAAAGAAAAAAGAAAAAAGAAAAAATAAAAGAAAAAGAGAAAAAAAATAATTAAATTTCGATTTTTTTTAAACATTTTTGTAAAGAGGGAGAGAGTGTGTGGATGGGTCTAGTAGGTGGGTTGGACATGGGTTCTAAACTCAACCCATTTAGATCAATTTATCTTTAAGCTTTAAAATTTAAAACCCATTTAAGGTTGACTCTTTAAAATTAAAGTGACCCATATATGACCCATTTATTTTTAAATGGGTCATATATGGGTTTAAGACTCATTTTGACACCTCTAGTGGCTGGCACCAAAAGAAAAGCCACCTCCATGAAAAAGACTCGACTGGGTGTGCACTAAGTAGTCAGGGGTGTATGTGGTGCACTAGGTGCGAAGTGCACGTGGTGCACTAGGGTTGTCTCCAGCTAGGAGACCGTGATACCAAGTTGAAGATAAGAATTGTAGAATTTTATGTATATTTCGATATATATATATATATATATTAATAAAGAATACATTAGCATAATTATTTTCTTTATTAGATAACTATTATAGGATAATATCTCGTTCAAGATATGCACAATTAAAGGAAGATATATGTGCAATATATGTGCAGTCGTGTAAATCATGTGCAATATACGTGCAATCTTGAGAGATACGGATAATCAATATAATTATCATAATATTTCTAATAATGAAAATTATCCTAGAGAAATCCATAATTATCTCTAACATCATATGACAAGTGGCGTATAAACGAAGTCACCACTCAATTCCTTATACTATGATGTTCACTGGGCCTAGGCATATATCTTATGCTTAAAAAAGGCATAAGCATCTTCACATGGCCGCCTTAATTAGGAATACGCGAAGGTCGTGGTCGATGAAGTTATAGTATATAATAATTCGTTTCTCGTTTTTTGCTGGTTCGTTCGGTAAAGATAAATGCATTTTCTTTTGACAAACCAATTGTCATTTAGTGATTGTATGTTAGGGTTATTAAATAAATTGCATGTCATGTAGATAATTGCATGTTAATTTTTGCCGGTCATTAGAGCTAGGTCATTTAATTAAAATCGCATGTCATATATCTTGCATGTTAGGTTTATTTAAGTAGAAATTTTATGTACGTCATTGTATTTGAAGTAATTGCATTACATGCATTGCATTTTAGCATTAGTTTTCATTTAAATATGAGAAAACCCTAAAAAGATTTGAGTGCAATCGTGTGTTAATTTGAAATCATATTTAGGATGTGATTTTTTAATTAACCTCACAGATGCTTATGTTGCTTAGAAGTAAGTAAATTGCTTCCTTACCCTTGCAATTTATTCATTGCTTTGATTATTGGTGTTTCATTAATGGTTACGCACTCGTATAATCACCTCACATGTCGACAAGTAAGTCTAAAATTAATTCAAGCTGTCTGCCAAATATTTTTTGAATAAAATAGAAAGGTACCAAAATGGCTTTAAAGTAATCTAGTGTAACAAAATCCCTAAATCCAAGTAAAGTAAATCTCTCAATACTTTACTTGAGTTTATAATCGACCTAGCAAAAAAAGAATTAGCGGTGACTCATAATTGAAAATCATTCTCATGTTAAACACTCGAACCTAAGTTGCGAATTGGTATGGGCTTGGGAGAGTCTAAGCTAAGTTGAGACTTGGTAATTCATTAGCCGAACCTTTAGTTAGTGCACCATTTCGAGGAGGTCGGAACACCCGTAAAAAAAAAAAGCTTTGACTTAACTAGTTCATGAGCCTTCACGTAGTAGGGCATCTACACTCGTGCCCTTGAATTATTGAATAAAAGAAAAGAAAAAAAAAAGAACTGGGATTAACTTTCTTTGACCATGTAGTGAGTACCGGCTCCTACCGTCCTGGTGCTCGTATCGTGTATTCCGTTGCTGAGCATTTAGAGGCACTAGGGAAGAGTACTTAAATACAAAATAACTTGCTTTGTTATTGTTGACACCAAAATATTGCCCAAGTCTCCTATTGTGGACTCCGACTACGAAAGATCGAGCAAGACGTGACGAAGTTAAAATTCGTTGTGTTGGGAGTTTTTAGTGAGCAAGTATAGATGGTCGACGGGATGATTAGTATTTGCTAAGAACAAATACAAAGGAAAATTACTAAGAGTGTGTTTGTTTCGGTTTGGGGGAAAGTCTCTTGGAAAATACAAAAGCCTTTAGCTTAAATGAGTTTTTTGAAATTCAAGTGGTGTTTGGCAAATTGCAATTATAAAATGCATTAGGAAACAACTTTGATTTAAATAGTGATTGAAAAAATCACACTCTGTAAAGGAATTTTATTTATTAAAAAAAAAAACTCAAAACTGACCAAGGACTCAGCTGTTGGCAGTGGCCGACGAGGCCAAATTTAGCTACCGGCGAGCCAAATCCGGTGTCGCCTGGGTCACGTGAACCAAGGCGACAGCCGCTTGGATTGTGCGAACCCATATGAAGCGACCTAGGTTCGCACGGCCCAAGCGAGGCGGCTGCTCGCCAGCAACGTTAGGATTTTTGAGAACATATCCTTAATTATGAAAGCCATAAGCCTTTTGGAAATGTAACTGCATCTTCTCTAAGCTTTCCAAAAAAATTGTTTAATGATATTTGCATTTACTCTAGGGACTTTGGAGCCCAAAGCCTCTTGGCAAAGCAGTTTCCAAATGCACCCTAAGCCCATGAAATTCAGTTTAGTCGACAAAAGGGCCACGGCTAATTAACACGAATGATGATGAGCTGGGTACTAGCCAATGACCTCAGTAATGGGATCAATAATTTCCATATGCAATTCGCCTGGGTAAATCGATATGGTATGGAGAAATGGAACCGACAAGATCGCGACGTAGTGGAGCCGTGGATTTTGGAAGCCAATAAGCATAAATGTTGAGAAACATAGGTTGTTGTCATAACCGTCGAAAAGTTGAGTCGCGGGTTGTAGAAGTAACTGTCGCTGTTGGGCACGAAAGAGGGAAGAAGCAATAATTGTCGAAGCATCGATCTGTTTAGTAACTGTTGGTAAATACATGTCGCTACATACATACATGAGGTGCAATTCCATCTTTTATTCTCCCTCCCTCCCTCCCTCCCAAGTAACTCAATGTTTAATGTCAAAGGAAACACATGCGGTTAAGCGGAAGAAGACAAGAAGAGCACAAAATGAAAGCGTGCGATTTCACTGAATCAGCATCTTCGGAATTTTAGTATTGCACGAGTTGCCCCAAGCATCTGGGAGACAGATTCCCAGACATTTTCCTGGGATACACTCCAGAAGCCTTTCAGCCAACCACCTAGTCGTCTGCTGTCGATATTTGTTTACAGTCCTTTCCTTTAGGCGGGCGCATGTGTTTGGGCAATTGAAAATGGCTGTGGAAATACAAAAGATCGACTTATGAAGGTGATTTACAGAACGACGCGATACCGTATGAATGGACATTTAAGCAACTGAGCTCCACCTAGAAAGGATGCTTTAAGAATTGAATCGAATCGTATTCAAACGCCCTTAGTATGCCTTTACTGTAAACCATTGAACGGATTGAATGTTTTTGACACTAACGTCATGATTGTTTTCGAACGATCTTATTGACTACAAACAATTATCGGCGAAAAAATGATGAAAGTTGAAATTTTCAATGCCTAAAGTCATTCAGTGTGTTCGATGATGTTTAAGTACACCTAAGTTAATTAATCTAACCGTGATCAATGGTGGAGGTGACGGCGATGATGGTTTTTGAAATGTTGGTGTTGCAATTGATGAAAGTGAAATTGACTACGATGCATAGCCATCGCTCGAATGATTAAATTCCGAATACTCGCAAGCACTTTTAGTAACTACAATCGATAGTTTTACGACGGACAACATCAAAAGAAAATTTCCTCTCTTCAAGCGTAGGTTATGATCACGGCATTTCGAGATTTCGCAATCATAATAAGAAGATTGGATTTGGAGGTTTTGCGATTGCGCTTTGACTTTTCAGGACTCAAACTACCTTGGTTTCAAATTTCACGAAGAAACGTTGAAGCTTAAAATTTTCAAAATTTAAAGGGTGGTATTTCATATTTTAATGGGAAAACAAAACAAAGAAAAGAACCTTTAATGATATCAGTAGCTCTAAAACGTTTGTCACTTAATTTCCAACTTTATGAAAGAGTATGAAATCCACTGTTCAAATAAAGAAAGAGTACGAAATTTACTGCGCCGGATGAGTCATCAATTAATGATATGGAGAATGGGAAAAAAGATCCAAACTTTTGAAGTCAGCGGGATCGTTCTATTGTTGCTCCTCCTCCTCCTCTCTCTGCTCTCACCTCGGCGCTCCCGCAAATTCCAGCAATCTCACTGGTTCTGTCTCTGTCTTCTCTCTCTGTCTCTCTCTGTCTCTGTGAAATATATGTAGATATATGTATGGATACAATATATGTTATTTACTTGGCTTGCTAATCTACGGCGTGGGACAACGTGTTTGTCGAAATGCTTCACCCACGTGCGATTCCAGCTTGAGATTTATCCCTCGCGCAAATTGGCATATATATACATCGTACGACCAGAAGGGTCTGCGAATTTTAACTGCCCTGAAAATATGGGATCCGTTTACTGGGGATGTAAGAGCATATGGCAGCTTCGCTAGATGGAACCCAACTGCGAAGAATGAAGATTCCCCTTGAACATCAAGGTTTGTCATCAAGCTCTCTGTTGCTTATGCCAAGATAGTAAATACATATTTCTTTCAGCTTGACTTCTCTATTGCCTACCACTATGTAACTGCTGGTCTGGCCTAATGAGTTGACATTGCAGCATTCGAGTGGCATGGTTAATCATCCATCTCCTCCTTAGCATGGTGTTTAGTGGCTTGACATTGCGGTCTCAGTTATGAATCACCACTCTATGTGGCTGGCTCCAGTACAAGGTAATTTAGGTCTTCTTGTTTTTGCTTCCTGATTACAGGTTGTCATTGTCAGCTACTTTTTCCCTGTCTCTAATTGTTAGCATCCTCTTTGTTTTCCTTGTCCCTAGCGGAGATTAACTTGCATTGGAGTTTGAGTTAAGAAGAAACTAGCGAATAAAGCTGGCGAGTTAGTTCTTCAATTATTGAACCTATAGAGTTTTCTGGCTTCATAAACCTAATTGTTTACTATGTGCGTCGTGCAGTTGTTATATCCGTATTTTGCAACTTTAGAAGGCATTTTGTGTCTCATTGTCTTTAAATCTGTTTGATACTCTCTCTCTCTCTCTCTCTCTCTCTCTCTCTCTCTCTCTCTCTCTCTCTCTCTCTTTGTGTGCGCGTGCGCGTGCACGTAAAACACTTTTATGAACAAATCGATGTAGTCTATATAATGGCTGATAAACTACATCTTAATGCAGGTGCTGCTGATTATTCTCATACTGTTCTACCATGACACTCTCACATTCCTATAATCTTGGGTTGTCTTCTCCTATGTCAGGTTTCTCTCTCTCTCTCTCTCTCTCTCTCTCTCTCTCAGACACACACACACGATATTAAAGATTTCTGGCTGCTCAGCTAATCGGGCTTTTGAGTGTATCAGCTTTATCTGATCCTTGCACATTCCACTGGATATGAGCAACATTAAAGTTTCTGCCACCTCTTCATTATGTGCTCATATATGAGCTTTCTGATATCATGTTTGAGTTTTGACAAATACCATCATTCAGTGATCGTATAAATAGAATGTGTCCACCAACGTAAGTAAGCATATGGAAAAGGGAAGTCATAAAGATTAACCTAGTTCTTGCTGCTTTGTGGGAGACCGGAGGATTGGGAGTGCCAATAAACTGGCTAACTTGCAGAGGATATCTTTATCTTGGAATCTTCTTCCTCTTACAGAGATTATTCTAGGTGTTTTTACACATAACTACCATCATATTTGAAGTTTCTAGCCCGTGAGGGATACCCAAGTGATACCTTGACTCTTGTTTTCCAACAGATTTTAAAATAAACTATCTACATAATGACGCATAATGAGCAAGATGTTTTCATTGATGAGGACAGAAGTTTCGGAAGTGTGTTGCTAGGCAGGGAAGCTACAAGTGAATATAGGTTCTTCTCAGAGCTAAATAGTGAAAATGCAACTTTTTTGTGTGTAGGCCTCATGTTGATGGGGTTAGGGTCGTGGCACTTCATTTGGTTCTGTGCATGATTGTTGTTTCGAGCCAGTACTTCATCAAGCAGTGGAGGGCATGGCATTCTTATTTAAGTATTGTATCTCCATTACTCATTCCATAAGCTCTGGAATTTATTTCTGTGCATCTTCCATGATCTCTGATGCTTACTTCCCTTATCAAGTATTGCCGACAGTCTAAACTATAAATCATTCAAGTTGCCCTTTCTGGGGTCCTTCAAAGTTTATTCTTTCGTTAATTCATTCAATCTTAATTCTTTGCCAGGAGCAGTTCCTTTGGACTTTGGATTAAAATCGGTTAAACAATCATCATCATGTGTTGCCATTGCGGTATGATGATCTTACTATTTGTTGTTTATAGCTTATATTCTTCCTAAGTCGATATCTAGTCAAGGATTTGCATGAAAATGTCTGTTTGTCCTTGCAGTTGGCCGAAGGAAGTAAAGAACAAATAAGTGATATGTTTAACAAGGTTGAACTCTCTCTTTCTTCATATGACACTGCTTGGGTGGCTATGGTCCCTTCGCCTTGTGCTCCACAAAGCCCCCATTTCCCTAGGTCTTTGAGTTGGTTGATGAATAATCAATTATGCGATGGTTCTTGGGGTCTCCCTGATCATCATCCATTATTAATCAAGGATGCTTTGTTATCGACTTTAGCATGTGTCCTTGCACTTAAGCAATGGGGAGTTGGTGAAAGGCAGATAAACAAAGGTAAACTAGATTTTTCTTCCCCATTATCTTTTTCATATGTATACCAATTAGTAAGGATGACACTATGATTGCAGGCCTTGAATATATCGCTTCAAATTCTGCTTCTGTAACTGATGACAGGCAACATACACCAATTGGATTCAATATTTTGCTTTCTGGCATGATTGAGCAGGCTGATTGCCTAAATTTAAACATTCCCTTGAGACCTACAGATGTAGATTATGTGTCTTCCAAGAGAAATTTGGAAGTGAAGAGGTAAAAGATATTACCGATCTTCCCCTTTTAGTTTTCTTTCAATTAAACAATGTGCAAAGCATCACCTAAGTTGTTCTCATAGTTGTTGATCAATGCTTATTCTTGTATCGCCTGTGAAATATTTTATGCCCAAAACTTATAAAATAGTGAAAGAAGTATAGGAAGTTCATTCATAGGCATCAATAAATTATGTGCTGCTTTGTCTTATTAGAGGTTTATCAGGGATTAGTGGAAGATACTTGTCTTATGTTGCGGAAGGAATGGGAAGTTCAGCAGACTGGGAAATGATTATGAAATATCAACGGAAAAATGGGTCAATATATAATTCACCAGCGACCACAGCTGCTGCTCTAACTCACCTTCAAAATGCCAGTTGTCTACACTACCTTGAATCAGTACTAGAGAAATTTGGTGATGCAGGTTACTCCTTTGCAGAAGTCTTCAAATGATTGTCTACTCTGTATAAACTATTGACATTTATGTATCTACTTATGGTCAGTTCCAACAATCTATCCTTTGGAAATATATGCTCGTCTATGCATGATAGAGAATTTGGAGAGATTGGGCATTGATCATCATTTCAGAAAGGAAATAATTCACGTATTGGATGACACGTACAGGTACTGTTCTTTTTTAGTGCAAACCCACTTGGTATGATTTATTTGCAACTAGTTCTGAGGATCAATTTCAGTCTAGTATTCAAAATTTATACCTGCCAAATAAGCAAAGCATTAGCTTTTTAATCTTATGGCATTAGACAACAAACAGATGCTGGCTGCAAGGCGAAGAAGAGTTATTTCTGGACATTGCCACCACCGCAATGGCATTTAGGATACTGCGATCCTATGGATATGATGTCTCTTCAGGTATGATACTATGCTGGACTTTAGATAATTATTTATGTTATGGATCGATGAAACGTTAATTTTGCTTTTACATGTGGTGTAGATGCATTGAGTCAATTTGCCGAAGAGGATCATTTTTGCAATACACTTGAAGGACATGTGAAGGATGCTGGCTCTGTCTTGGAATTGTATAGGGCTTCACAGCTGATCATCAATGATGATGAAATTATTCTGGATAAAATCAATTCTTGGACCAGTGAATTTCTTAGAAAGGGTTTACACACTGGTGAAATGCATGCCAATAGACTTAAGAGTTATTTAAGTCGAGAGGTACTTTTTCTCCTGAGGTTGTCACTATTATATTCCGATGTCACTTTCTTCATGCTGCTTTTTTTTATGGTTAGTTCCATTGGAGCAATTATTAGTAAACATTTCAGGTGGATGATGCTCTGAGATTTCCTCTCCATGCAAACTTGGAAAAGGTAGCGAACAGGAGAAATATAGAGCTCTACAACATAGACAGTACGAGAATTCTAAAATGTGGTCTCCGGTACTGCCCTCTTAATTGCTTTTATCTTTTTTAGTTTATCAATGTTCCATTATCTTTTATACTCGATTGATATGATACCTGTCTCCTATGCTAGGTCCCATAATTTTTGCAACAAAGATTTCCTGAATCTGGCAGTGAAGGACTTCAACAACTGTCAAGCAATATACCAAGAAGAACTCAAATATCTGGAAAGGTGTACATTTCTGAAACCATCATGGTAGATAGATGTAGAAACAGTCATTTTATGGGATTTTTTGGCATGGCAAAACTTGATTTTGATCACAGTTTCAAAAAAAAATGTTAAATTTGCTGGGGCTTCATGTCTGATAAGACTTTCGACATCACCATAACTGCTAATCGTATGTTATTTAAATGTGTATAATCTAACATTATGTTTGGTAGGGGTGACTAGAAAGGAAAATAAAGATTTAACTGATTAAGAGGAAAAAGAAGGGAAAGGATTTGAAGAGATTAAGTTGTTTGGATGAAACCTCTGAGATGGGTTTGTCATATTTATAAGGGAAGATATGAATAGGAATATATGGTCTAGGAGCACAGGAAATTCTACAAATGCTACGGATATTTGGGGTTTCTGGATCTTACGAAAAGAAGTGCAAACCATCATTTGGATCTGGCTCACTGGACCAGTCAGTATCACTGGTCTCCGGGAATGATTGAATGGCACAGATGATTGTTTTGAAAGGCTCATCTTCCATAGAGAAGACTGATTCAAAATCATCTTCTTGGAGGGATACTCCCGTCTTTTTTTTCAATTTTTTGCAGCATATGCATGCCTTTCCTTTTAGCCCAAGGACAGTTTTTGGCAAAGTGTCCTTTGCGTCCGCAGATGAAAAATCTGTCCTTTTTCTTCTTGCCCAGGCATCTCCTTTTGCGAAGAAATGTCCATTTTTATTTTCTCTGTCTGGAGGATTTTAAGTGAAATTTCTTATAGTGCCTCTTCTTCTTGCTGCGGAATGTACTAGAAGAATCATTATATGGGCACTTAATTTGCAGGCCGGGCTTTTGGCAGGCTTTGTCGAATTCCCTGTTATCATGCAAGTAATCCCTAATGGCTTTTCTTCAAAGGCATATATCTTCTATGGCAATATGTATTGAAATGTAAAATAAGGGTTTGAGTGAGAAAGAAGAATAAGTTGTTTATTAATACACAAATCATTCCAAATCCCTCCACCAATGGAGAGACTCGAAGGGTTTTAAACGTACATAAAAGTGAACGGACCGATTGCTCCTAATTCTCCTCTTTCTTTTCCCCTCCATCCAAATGCGATTGTGTTTGTAGCATCCTTTCTCTTCCCTCCCCTAACAAACATAGTGGAACTCTCCTAAAGGGCTCCGGCATCTAAGAAATTAGAATGGGAATCGGCACCTTTTGTATTATTATAGGTTCCATTTCCTTTCTGACAGATGGGTCAAAGAGAAAAGGTTAGACAAACTGAAATTTGCCCGACAGAAGCTGGCATATTGTTACTTTTCTGCTGCAGCAACCTTTTCAACCCCTCTACTAGCAGAGGCTCGCATTTCTTGGGCCAAAAATGGTGTCCTCACAACAGTGGTTGACGACTTCTATGATGTTGGTGGCTCCGCAGAGGAGCTTGAAAATCTTATACAGTTGGTTAAAAAGTAAGTTTGGCTCTCTCCATCTCTTTCTGTGTGCGCATGCGCCACAACTTGACTAACTGCATGGAGATGGATTAATTCAGGTGGAATGTAAACTTCAGTGCTGACTGCTGTTCTGAGCAAGTTCAAATCATATTTTCAGCACTTCATTCTACTATTTCTGAGATTGGAGACAAAGCAGTAACATGGCAAGGAAGAAACGTGACGGGTCATGTGGCTCAAATTGTGAGTGGACTTACTGATCATCTCTACTTTATCGTGTTTATTCTAAGATGTATGATGTTTTTCCTCGAATTTCTGCTTAATTAAGAGTTGCATATGGAAAGTGCAATTATAATTTAATGTCAGGTGACATTACGGACGACAACTTCATTATCCTTTTATGTTCTTTTTGTTTCCCAGTAAGCACCCTTTTCTGGATATGTTCACCCTAGGATTTTTCTCTGCAGTGGTTAGAATTGCTCGACTCTATGTTGATTGAGGCCGAGTGGACAAGAAAGAAGGCAGTGCCGACAATGGATGAATACATGGCAAATGGATTCGTCTCATTTGCTTTGGGACCTATTGTTCTCCCGGCTCTCTACCTTGTTGGTCCTAAACTTTCGGAGAAGCAGGTCGAAAGCCTTGAGTACCACAACTTATTCAGGCTGATGAGCACTTGTGGGCGCCTTCTGAATGATATGCATGGTTTCAAGGTCCGAGCTCTATTTCTTAGAAGGAACTAGATAGAGGACTTACCAGCCTCTTGATTAAATCAGTAGCTCTCGATATTCTCTTAGGTTTTGTCGTCGTTGCTTTGCAGAGGGAATCCAAGGAAGGGAAGTTGAACGCCGTGACATTGCAGATGCTTGATGGGAGCAGCACCAGCGAAGGAGAGGCCACGGAGAGTATCGCCAGTATCATCATCAGCAAGAGGAGGGAGCTCTTAAAGCTGGTTTTGCAAGAAAAGGATAGCATGGTTCCAAGAGCTTGCAAGGACTTATTTTGGAAAATGAGCACCGTGTTGCACTTCTTCTACATGGATGATGATGGCTTCACTTCAGATGAGAAGACTAGTGCTGTTAAAGCTCTCCTTGATCAACCAATCACTCTCAATGAACTGTAATTATCTTGAGAGAGCATGCCGAACTCTTATAATACTGCTGCTTATGTAAGTGTGAATATCGGTTGTGCTCGTCTATCGCGTGACGATATGAACTAACATTTCTGCACCTAATGACAAGGGCGCGATCATATCCTACTTCATGATCCTTGTTTTTCAGTTATTTGTGTTACGATGCTTTTCTAGTCTTCATATCCTACTCAGTTCTAACTCCATGATGGTAAAGAAGAATTTTACCTAAGGACAGGGACCCAAAATCTAATTCCCTATTTTTCCCCGCCTCCTATGTAAATGTTAAATTAAGTTGGTACCATTATTAATGCATAAATATGTGTTAGTCAAAAGAAAATTTTGATTTTTTTCTTTCAGAAATAAAAATATAAACTGATTGTTGTGATTTAAATTGGTGATGATATAACAAAAAAAAGTTGGTAGTATCTTCGATTTGACACCAATAGGTCTCAATAACCAATACTATATAGCTTTTGTCCCACAAAATTGGAGATTGTCTTTTTTGTTAATCAAATTGACATCGATAAATTCGAGCATTAATTGAACTTTTTGGTTGGTTAATAGCCAAGTAATCTATCATTTAGCTAATCTAATGAAAGTTTAGGGCTAATACCATAAAAAACCTTAAACTGATACACATGTGCCACATTTATTCCAAACTAATTTTTGTGTCACAAAAAACTCATAAACTAGTACACATGTACTACGTTTAACCCAAACTAATTTTTTAGTTACAAGAAATCCCAAATTAGTACATCCGCGCCGCACTTACCCCAAACTAGAGCACCCCATACCATATTTACCCCAAATATTGGTAAATCTGAGATTTGTGTAGAATAGGTGCATCGGTTTGGGGGTAAATGCGGCACATATATATCACTTTAGGATTTTTGGTGACATAAAAATTAGTTTGTGGCAAATGTGATGTGGGTATACCAATTCGAGAGTTTTTGTGACACAAAAATTAGTTTAGGATATACTAATTTGAGGTTTTTTTGTGGTATTAACCCTAAAGCATTCAACACCAGTACTTGTCGAAGATTTGAGTCACGGGCTTGTGGAATTTTGCAGACTCTTACTTTATTCCTTGTTGAATAGATTGACCAGAACTTTGTACACGTTAGTAATGTAATTCCAAAACCGTCAATTTTGCAGCGCAATCTCGTATGCACTCGACAACTTTATGACCCATACGATTGTCGACATCGACCTTTTTATATCAATGAGACCGAAGATGGTTAGTCGTTGGGTTAGTTGGTTTTACAGTCTTAAAGTCCAGATGCAGTCGAAGTACGACCCTAATTGAATGTAGCACACAATGCTTTGCTCAAAAAGCTCAAAGGTGACCAAGTTACACGTACGCTCGAAAATGGGATGATCTGCCCGGATTGCTTTTACTTTTTATGTATCGTTTAAGTTAAATCTTACGGCTCAAACACTTTTTCGAACCTTCATAAATTCTCGCAATACTAGAACATTTACACGTAAGTTTACATACATAATTATTTGAAATTTGATGGAGAAGTCAAATAAAAAAAGTACCTTTTGTGGTTGACTAAGCGTAAACAGATACGAACTGGCTTCATTTATATCGCAGAAAATGAATAATTTGGATATATTTTCCTGAAAATGGTCATTTGTATCGTTTGAAATAATTAATTGATGTTATCGACAATAATTTATATCCAAACATTTTCGTAAACGATGAAATATTTTTCATTCATTCATTTTTGTAATCGAACGAGTGATTATTTTTAGGAAAATATTTCTCAAATTATTCATTTTCCTTGAAACGCACGGACCGGGGTATGTTTGTTTGAGTGAATGAATTTTCTGCGAATAATTTACTAGACCTTCACGCATTAGGTTTGTTGAAAATGATTGGTTAATGGAAAACCATTTACTGTCAAAGAAAATAGGTATGCTTAAAATTAGGAAAATGAATTCTCTCTAATTCGAAAAAGGAAAATATAACACACCCTAAATGATTAAGATTGACAACTTTTCACGAGGTTCAGTTTTCGAATTTATTGTTGTACCAAACGTAATACAAAATTGTTTGTTGTAACTAATAAAATTAAACTGAAATAATAACTCCAAAAAAGCGATAACAAATTTAATAAAAACAAAGTAAAATTGTAACAGAATTAAATAGGAGGTGAGGTACAGATTACCGAATCTCCTTAAGGCGGTTAATTCCTGCTAACGGTGCTTAGTAGATTTACGAAACTGTCTCTCAAGATATAACACATCGAACCTGTTTGGACTAGCATCATGCAAATAGGACTCAATCGAACCTTTACTCAAACCGGCACACTTAGAAATTTAACCAAAGAGAACATTGAAAACGTTGTGTTTTGTTCTCTACTTCTTTAAATAAAGATAGTTGATTACAATTTATAGAGATTGAAAGGACATGATATGAAAAGACATATTCATGTCTATTAAAGACGAAGAAAACTACTGCAGGAAATGATGTGAAGTGACATGTTCGTGTCTATTAAAGACACATGTTCATGGGCAAAAGTACACAAGAAGTGCCATAATTTGTGTACGGCGATCACTTTGGTGTCATAACTTTTTTTTGGATCACTTTGGTGCCAAGTCGGAGGAAAATAGACCACTTTAGTGCCAATTTGGCCGGAAATTCGACGTGGCATTTTTTTATTCATTTTTTATATCGACGTGGCTCGTCGGAGGCTGAGTCAGCATGTACAGTCAGCATTTTTTATTTTAAATAAATTTTTTCAGCGTGTACAGTCAGCATTTTTAATTTTAAATATTTTTTTTCTTTTTTTTTTCTCTTCTTTCCTTTTTCTTTTCCTTTCTTTTTTTTCTTTTCTCCCCTCGCCGGCCGGTTGCCGGTGGCCGGCCGGCCACCGGCGAAGCCCGGGAAGTGCTGGGCGAGGGCGGCCTTGCCCATGGCCGGCGAGGGCGACCCTCGTCGGCGTCGGGCGAGGGAAGCCCTCGCCTGACGGGCGAGGGTCGCCACGCTCGACTCGGGCGAGGGCTTCCCTCGCCCGACGCCCGGCGAGGTCGCCCTCGCCGGATCCGGTGAGGGCGACCCTTGCCGACGTCGGGCGAGGGTTGCCCACGCCCGACTCCGGCGAGGGCGACCCTCGCCCGCCCAGGCGAGGGCTTCACTCGCCCGACGCCGCGAGGTCGCCGGCAGCCGGCGAGGGTCGCCCTCGCCGGATCTGGCGAGGCGACCCTCGCCGGCGTCGGGCGGGGACCGGCGAGGCGACCCTCGCCGGCGTCGGGCGAGGAAGCCCTCGCACAGGGCGGGCGAGGTCGCCCTCGCCCGAGTCGGGCGTGGGCGACCCTCGCCGCTCAGGCGAGGGCTTCCCTCGCCCGACGCCAGCGAGGGTCGCCCTCGCCAGATCTGGCGAGGGCAGCCCTCGCCTGGGCCGGCGAGGCCGCCCTTCGCCGGCCATGGGCAAGGCCGTCCTCACCCAGCCCTTCCCGGGCTTCGTCGGTGGCCGGCCGGCGAGGGGAGAAAAGAAAAAAAAGAAAAAAAAAGAAAAAGGAAAGAAGAGGAAAAAAAAAAAGGAAAAAAAATATTTAAATTAAAAATGCTGACTGTACACGCTGGAAAAATTATTTAAAATAAAAAATGCTGACTGTACACGCTGACTCAGCCTCCGGCGAGCTACATCGGCGTCAAAAATTAATAAAAAAATGCCACGTCGGATTTCCGGCCAAATTGACACTAAAGTGATCTCTTTTCCTCCGACTTGGCACCAAAGTGATCTGAAAAAAAGTTATGGCACCAAAGTGATCGCCGTACATAAGTTATGGCACTTATAATGTACTTTTGCCCATGTTCATGTCTATTAAAGACAAAGAAATTGCTACATGAAATGATCTAAAAGAGACATGTTGAGCGATTAAGCCACCATAATTACAACAATCCCCACATTAATGAATCAACAAAAAAAGTTTGATTCGAAGAATTGTAAGTGTTCCCGGGGAAGTACACTACATCAATATGGGTAGCTTTCGCTTTAAACCTTCTTTAGTGAAAATTTATCGAACTTACTTAACTTATCAATGGACGAAGCCTTGAATCGCTTGTGTAATCCTTGACAATAGACCTCACACAGAGTCTCCAATTTAAGATTGGTTCTTGGTTATGTTCATTTTTTCGGCCCTAAACCTCTCGAGATTTATTTATGTTTTAGAAAATCTAGCCTTTAAAGATCTTCATAGAGTTGGCCTATATCACACATATAGATGCAATCCTACCAAATGAATCATAACATTCCTTGCTAGGATGACGAATTCTAAGCTATAGCAATCCTTAAATGCATGACGTACCATGTTGCATCATAAGAATAGGAAACAACGCTTACACTAGAGTTTTTAAAATTTGCATTGTCGTATCAAACCTAGTCAATAGGAACTCCAATTGCTAGGTTAGATTTCCACATTGGAACCTCTTTATTGAGTTAAGGCTTTTAACCCTATTCCTTTATATACGCAATTCCCTGCTCTCTTAACAAACCTTTTATTAGCTGATTTGCAATGTTTTCCTTTGATTTCAAATAGTCTAAAGAAACTATTCCATTCAAGAGAAATGTCTTACATTATTATGTCGACGATGAATGTGTTTAGACTCATTGTTATATATCACACTCTATGCTATTGCAATCACTGATTGATTGTCATAGTGTATGCATACTATAGGCATAGATTTTGACCACAACGGAACACCCTCTAAAAAGTATCGAAACCACTCTATTTCTTCGGTAGCTTTATCCAAAGCAATAAACTCAGATTCTATCGTGGAGCATCAAAGTTTGCTTTGAGGATTTCCATGATACTGCGGCACCTCCTAGCGTGAACACATAATCGCTAGTCGATTTTGACTTGTCATAATCCAGTTGGCATCACTATAGCCTTCCAAAATAGCTAGATATTTGCCAGATTACAGAATATAGTCTTTGGTTCTTTTAAGATAACCTAACACCCACAACAGAGTATTCAAATGCCTATGACCAGGATTATTTATATATCTTCTCAGTTTTTCTACTGAGTACGCAATATCCAATGTAGTGCAGTTCATGATATACATGATGCTGCCGATTACTTAAGAGTACTCCAGCTGCTTAATTCTCTTTCTAGTATTCTTTCTTTAAATTAGGCGTGGAA